TGGAAAAGTTGCAGCATGTGCTCAGGAGCAAGTCATTTCCCAGAGTGAGTAAAAACCACTGAGATAAGTGCATGACAAAGCCAAATGATTAACGGTTTACTGCCCTGTGGGTCACCTCCACCTGATGTGACTGGCAATTACCAATAGGTCAGTCAGTCTCATCCAAAACCCTGAACTACGTGTGAATATAAAATCCTTCTTTCCCGCTCTGCGGAAACTTTCTAGGAAATTAAGCGAGAAATATAAAACTCCAGACATAAGCAGGTAAGAACCTGCACTGCTGAATGTGACATTTTTTAATACGGAGCCAAGCTCTGCTCAGCACAGCACATCTGGTAGTGCTGCTAAATGATGCTACTCTGACTCAATCATCCACAACATCTGGTCATAGTCTGACGTAACCTCTGCCTGTGCAGTCAACACATTAGGAACTCCGTCATCAACTATAACTGTTGGATGCCATGATGTGACTGATCATAATCCTTTTCTGAGATTGAATGTGGGGTGCAGTCTCAGTCTGCCTCAGATTATCCCAGAGTCAATCCTGGGCCTCTGAGGAATGCACCCCAGCTATGGTCGGTTGGGGTGCATTTGGTCGATTAGACTGAAAATCTTTTCCAGACTTTTCTGAGAAAATCCTGCAAATTTGTTTTATAGTGCAAAAACTCAAGTTTAACAGTAATAACCATAAAAAGACACAAAGATGTACCTTATTAGAGTGGCAACATAAACAAAACAAATCAACATTATTGTTACTAAAGAACTTTAACAACTAATATGATGCACTAAATAAAGTGTAGTGAACTAAGCCTCAGGTCAAAATCTGGCCTTGAGGGCCTGCCTGGAACAAGAACTGTATTTCATTGATTTGAGTCCAGAAACACAAGATTAAGTCATCCAGAGACTTTCTAAGTGTCCTGCACTGATCAAATGAAAGAACACTCTTTTTCTATTATCATTACTATTTTACAAATGTTTGATAATCAAAGTGTGTTTAGTTCAAACCATTTTTAAATGTTGAAGTGAACTAATCATTTTTAATCAACTGTGAAACAGTATTAGTGATTTTTAATCCTCATGCAAAGTAGAAATCATGTTAAGGTCTGTTACAGAGTAATTATGCATTTTCTGATTTTCTGTCTTTGAATGAGCAAGTGTAAGTTGGTCCAAGGTTGGAGTCAAACGCAAAACAAGTTGTTGGAACGAACTGTCATGTTTTAAATCCTCTCAGACGTAAATATAGAGGCTGGCACCTGTTTTCCCCCAACTCACCTAAATATTCCTCTCGTCTGTCTGAAAAACATTTTCAATCTGTTCCATAACATTCTTGCTGTTTTTCTGACTTCTAGTGACCTCTTACGTCACAAAAACACACCCCTGTCTGGTCGAAACGACCAATCAGGAACCTCCCAAGTGAACCGGAAATAGAACTCTTTAAATGTCGGCACTTCCTAGTTCAAACCAGTCGGGTGGAGAGTTTGCAGAGCTTCAGTTGCTTCAGGCTCCGGCTTCAGTCGTTTGCAGCTCCAGTGCTGGGGAGAACAGAAGTCCAGGCATGATCCACAGTTCTTCCGAGTCTTGTGGGGATTATGACATCTTCCACCTCTGAGTGGAACTTCTGACGGACTCCACTCATGTGAGTCCACCAAGAGGTGAACTTGTGTCGAACAAGTACCGTCACTACTTCGGACGATTCACAGCTGTTCCTACGGAGACGCTGAAAGGGTGCGTTAAATGGAACTTCGTACCAGGGAGACATCTCCAGGTAAAGAGTTGATTTATACCACCTAAGTGTACCGGGGAAGAAGCTGGGAACTCACCGGAGAGTGCCGTTCTGATGCCGACACACACATTTCCCTCATCCCTCCTTTCTCTCAACTTAAACTCAATTTCCATCTTTAAACTCTTCTATCTGCTAGAAATCATTCCAGATATTTTTAGAAATGTCTGTTGTGAAGCTTGAGGTTTTCAACCATCGCCGTATGGTTAATCAAATTGTACAGCTTGCTAAGCCATGTTGTTATTTTTCATTTCGCCAAATTAATGTAAATGTGTGATGTTAAATTTTGATTCTGAAAATAAATGACCACGTCATTTTGATGGGTCAAAGAAAATTAACGTCTCACGATACATTTTATCAAATTCAATGCACGACATTATTCAGTCCAGAAAAATGAAAGAATCCGTTTAATTTATGAATATATCACAGCATATGTTCATCTACAAAAGCAACATATTCAAATAATGTGATCCTCAGATGTTGTATAGTTTATTGATAAACAGGAGTAATAAAATAAAATAAAATACTAAGATGGAAGATCTCTGAAACTATGAAATATAAATACTGGACATTAAATAAAGAAATAATAACCCACACCTTAACCCTTTTATTGATGCACTGCTATTATTTTTAAAAAAACGATTTATGCTTTTAAATCATAATAGCAACACTGCTTCATTCAGAGCCCTCACAAAATCATCTTAACGGGAATCTAGATTAATGGGAGGGTTTGGCCTCACCCTGACTTCATAAACTGAGTTTTTAGCAGATCAATAATGTAAGAAAACATCTGTAGCAGTAAAATGCGTGGACAGCAAAGACGTGATGAAGGCTACGGTGAGTTTACACATGACAAGGCATACAAGGAAAAGTAAAAAAAAAAAAGGAAACCATAAAATATTGGAATCAAGTTAATTAGATCATGATTTTTTTCCTTTAGGCCTAGACATTTTTTTACTTTATCATTCCTTAAAATCTTGTGCATTTTCATGGAATAAATGGGAAAAATCATTAAGATATATTTAAAACAAAAAAACATCTAAGACTGAACATTTAGTGTGAGACACAAATGTTTGTTGTGTCTGATGGATGGATGGAGTTGTGCAAACCACTAAAACCAAAGAGAGAAAGCAGCACTTTTAAATGAACAAACAACTGGACAATCATTTACATCTGACCACTTCCACAAAAAAGACACATTCTAACCTGTTTTCTAACCTAATTCATTCTAATATTTAGCTTAGAACTTCAAGCGCATCAATTGATATTGAAACCTGGCTGTTTGTTGAAGCAAATCAACATCTGAGCTCATTAATTGCTAAAAAAAAATAAAAACAGCAACTGTAAAGTCATTTGTGGAGTGGAGCGTGGTTACAGAGAAGCTGGGCACCAGATGCTGACGGTTAATTGCCCTGTGAAATCCACACATTGAGTCAGCTGCAAAATGAACATTACGGTGTGCTGTCTGAATCCACGAGCACAGCTCAATTTGATTATAATTTGACTCGCTTCTATTAAGTCTTCTACAGTCGTTAACATGTTTCCATGAAAAGGTCGCATGGCACATGATAAGATTTACCCGGCAAGCTTTAAATCAAATGTTTCTCGATAAAGACATAAAGACAAGGTTGTAAAAAAAGCTCCAATGTCTTATCTTTTAGTGTGTTGAAACAGCATTACATTTGGATCAAACACCCGGCTTTTAAAGTATTTCAGCATGGATATAAGTGAGGAGAACGAGTTAACAACCAAAGGAAATAATAAAACAATAGGTGTTAGAAAGTACTGTGGCTGCTGCTGCAGACGAGAGCAGTGGAGTATAGCTTACAGCCTGGACGATAAAAACTCTAAATCGTTCACTGCATCCATCCATATAGGTCTGTGGAAGCTGGAAACAAGTTCTTACTCTGACCAGTCTTACCAGGACAAACATGTACCACAACACAGCAGTCACATGTACCGTATTTTTTGGACTATAAGGCACAGCTGATTATAAGGTACATTAAGCGAAACTAAACAGTCAGATAAGTCAAACTTTATTCACCTCATTCACAATACAATAGTCCCTCGTTTATTGCGGGTGTTAGGGACCACGCCCACCCGCAATACATGAAAAACCGCGATGTAGGGATAAAGTAGTCCAAGTTCTAGTTCAGTAAACTTTGTCATGACATGTGCCAGAGTGTAATCACACTCACTCATCACCTGTTACTCTCAATCTCCCTTCTTAAATAAACAATTTAAATACTGTAACATTTTAAATAAAAAAAATCCATACAGCATGGATTGTTTATTTAAAATATTAAAGTACCCGCTATTTAAATTTGAATTGCAGAGAAGAGAAGTGCAGCAGGACATCAAAGAGATGTCACACGGCTTCAGATCTGCAGCACAGAGCAGAAATGTACTTTCTGATCCATTACACTGAAACAACTGAACATAAGTTCCAAAATAATTTGTAAAAAAAACCTTTGAACACTTGTATTTTGTGATTTTACGATGTGACATACTTTGAATTTTACGTTGGAAGACAAAAGTCGATGGGCGCATCTGGATAGCAAAGGGTTAATCTTTCACAAAGCCACAGAAATGAATGGCTGCAGGAGGAGCTTTCCCTTCCACTTGTGGGCTTTATTTTAAATAATCAACCCATGGCTCATCCATCAATTAACCAATTGTGTCATGTCCAATCTTACTTTGAAGATCCGGAATATAGCAAACTCACGATAAATGAACCGCGAAGTAGCGAGGGACTACTGTAATCAGATAAAAATCTGTTTGAGGTCAGTAAGCACAACCAGAATTAATACATAAGGCTCACCGTCGATGTCTGAGAAAATTAAAGGATTTTAAGTGTGCCTTATAGTCCGAAAAATACGGTAGTTTTACTACCACAATAGCACTGATACTACATTTCCAGAGTTATTTATTGCAGGAATGACAACATAAACAAACCATTATCAACAGCAATATGAGAAGTAGTGAAACGTGGAAGAACAAGGGCAGATTAGGGCAAAAAGAAGATTTATTTGTGTCATAATCAGTGTCAGTCAAAGTGATCATTCACAAACTCTACATGAGCACCATGCTCCTATATTCAAACACTTTAATTATTCGAGCAAATCACCTTCCTTCATGTAATGGGTGTGCACACCATCATCTGAAATGCCGAGCTTGCACACAGACACAGTTCAGTTCTCTTTTACAATTCGGTTCTTACCTTATTGTTGAGGAAAATGCAGTCCTGGATATCTGCTGATCTTCACAGCTGCAAAACAAACAGTGAAACATTAATGAGGCAAACGCATCTCTCTCACACACACACACACACCGTTTACGTACAAATATAATAGCCGTTTTTAGCATGCCTACAAATAAACGTGGATCCCAGAGCATGTGAGTTAATGCTCCTTGCACAAACACTTAGCATTTATTTTTAGCCAGATGCCATTACGTGGCAGCACATACGGATTAGATACGCCCAATGAAAAGTGTTAAAGTGTACAAATTAATGGTTCAAATGACCAGAAATAGAAAGTTGCATTTGGTTCAACAGATGGAGAGAAAATAAATGAGCATGATCCTAACATACAGTATACCCCAGTTTAATAATAACAGTTACGAAGTGGAAAAGAATATTCTGACAACAGAACTAAAACTGTTATAAAAGCTCGACAACATAAAAAAATAAACCACACTTTAATTACATACAGATGGTAACAGCTCATCTAGTCCATTGGACTGTTCTAGTACACAAAAAGAAGAGGGCGACTGATTTATTGACTATGCCACAGCACTGTGCAAAAGTCTTGAGTCATTTGATATGTGCTGCTTAAGTTAAAACTTACAGGTTTCAAAAAAGCTCTGTCAAAATTCAGTCATGATGCACAGTTAATTAAGACAACATCTCTTAAGTTCATTACAACCATAGAAAGAGCATGGAACTTTACATGGAACAGAAATCATCCTTGTCGGTACCAAAAACACTATTTCAAAATCAGAACATCTTCTCATCCCCCTTAACAACTCTCTGCTATCCCCCTCGCCTCAGGTCAAGAGTCTTGGTGTCATCCTCGACACCACTCTCTCCTTCACTTCACACATCAACAAAGTTATTCGATCTGCCTATTTCCACCTCCGAAATATTAACCGTCTCCGTCCTCCTCTCACACCCGGCTCCACAGCCATCCTTGTTCACAGTCTTGCCACTTCCCGGATGAACTACTGCAACTCCCTTCTTTATGGCCTCGCCAACAAATCTCTTCAGAAGCTCCAGATGGTCCAGAACTCAGCTGACTGTGTCATCACTCAAACCTCCTCCTATAACCACATCGCTCTAGTCCTGCAGCAGCTCCACTGGCTCCCGGTTAAAGCACGCATCGTCTTAGAAATACCTCTTCTCACTTTCAAAGCTATCCACAACCTTGCCATTCCTTACCTATCTGACCTCCTACACATCTCCATCCCCTCTTGCTCTCTCAGATCCTCCTCTTCACTGCACCTCCATGTACCCTCTGCCCACCTCTCCTCATTGGGGAGCAGGGTCTTCACCTGCTCTGCCCCTCACCTCTGGAGCTCTCTACCACCAGACCTACGAATACCACCTCTCTTTCTCTGTTCAAGACTGCTCTGAAAACATCGCTTTAGACTCGCTTATCCTTCTTAACTTTGTTTTATGTATTTTATATTTATTCCTGTTAGTCTTTGCACTGTTTGTTTTTACACAATCTTATCTGATATGTTTCTTGCTGTAAAATGTCCTTGGGTGTCTTGAAATGAGCTTTTAAATAAAATGGTTATTAATATCATTATTACAATTTTGCACATTAAACAGACGAAGAGTGAAATTCACTCAGTTATCTTAGGTAAAATTAATCTTCGAGGCTCAATGCGATTTATCTGTTTAAATAAAAGTTGAATGAATGAACGAAAAACTAAAAAAACACTTTATCCAAAAATTTTGTTGTAATGCAACAAGTTTGTTTGCAAATTTTCTGCATAGTAACAGCCAATAGCATAGCAGCCTGTAAGGACAAGTATAATAATCCAGATTGTGCCAGATTATTACACCTGTCTACACTGTGTTGTATGGTTCCTACAGCCATGTGACACAAGCTGACAAGCTGGATGACAGACAGGTGAAAGACTTATCAAATGCAGGTTTTCAGAGGTAAAAGCATTACATGGCTGACTCTCGGTGCTGTTTTCTCTCTCGCTCGGGATGTTTTGCACGCGCTGCAGATGTTCCAACGCTCACACTCTAATAAACACCCAGGCAGAACGTGCAGAAATGTGTTGGCTTTGCAAATTAAAGCACCGGCGAAGTGATTCATTTTCACACGCATGATAAAATGTGACAAGACTGAAGGCATTTAACAGAAAAAGAAGAGCAGAACAGCCAGCTGTATAAATCAATAACTCTATGAAGAAAATACGTGGGTTTTTTTAGTTCAAGGGCCAAGTCCAAACAGCTGCACTCTTAAAGCAAACACTGGCCTGCACTGTTAACCATTGCTAACTATCTCTATCTGGCTTCAGATTACCTGCTTACTCATCAGACTCTGTTGGCTCTGGGTCAAGCAGCTAGTGGCAACAACCTGTCCCCCGGGCTTTGAAGACTTGCTGACATTGACTAAGAGCTGAAAAGAGTTTTAGGTTTCTTATTGGGAGGGCATTAATGAACACAAAGAGTCACCTTTCAAGTAGAGGAGGTCACTGCAACGCATCACTATTCTCATCTTAAATGGAAAAAAATAAGAAATTTCCTCTGCAGTTACATATGCAACTACATTACTACTTAAGATGACTTGCTGGAGAAAAAAGCAACAAATGGTTGTACTTTGAAACAGCATCCATTATGGGAACTATTTTGAACCAACGAAAATGGATGTCTGATAAACTAGTTTTCAAATTCCAACCAAAATGTACCTCGCATTTCTACCAACAGGCGCTATAAATCTTTCCAAAGAAGGTTTAAAAAAGAAAGTCTCCGCTGAATGAAAACACACTGAGTGCTGTCAGTGGGGCTGCTGCTGGCGCTGCTTGACCACCCTCTTTGTTCAACCTGCTCCTGCTGCACCATGCAATTTCATTTTATTTTTATTTTTTTAAGAGGAACAAAAATCAAATCTACACTTTAGGCGACATGTTTCAAGTTTGTTCAAAGGAGAAAACAGCAATTCTCAGGAAACAAACTGAGAAAAAAACCTTGTGCACTTCTTTGATAAAAGAGGACTAGAAGGCAGAAGAAAAGTGTTTCTTTAAAAACATCATTTTGGTGCAAGTCTTTTTATGCAATATTTCATGCTTTTTTACTTTTGTTTGTGATTATTTCTCTTTGTATTGTTAGACAACCAGCAAAATGACTTTCACTGAAAAAAATCATTGCATAGGGACTATGCATAAACAGGTGCTGGTCATAAAATTAGAATATCATGAAAAAGTTGATTTATTTCAGTAATTCCATTCAAAAAGTGAAACTTGTATATTATATGCTGGTGAAGATTGTATATTATATTCATTCATTACACACAGACGGACATGTTTCAAATGTTTATTTCTTTTAATGTTGATGATTATAACTGACAACTAACGAAAACCCTAAATTCAGTATCTCGGAAAATTAGAATATTGTGAAAAGGTTCAAAATTGAAGAGACCTGGTGTCACACTAATCAGCTAATTAACTCTAAACACCTGCAGAGGCCTTTAAATGGTCTCAGTTTAGTTCTGTAGGCTACACAATCATGGGGAAGACTGCTGACTTGACACTTGTCCAAAAGACAACCATTGACACCTTACACAAGGAGGGCAAGACAAAAAATTCATTGCTAAAAAGGCTGGCTGTTCACAGAGTTCTGTGTCCAAGCACATTAATAGAGAGGCGAAGGGAAGGAAACAATGTGGTAGAAGAAAGTGCACAAGCAATAGGGATAACCACACCCTGGAGAGGATTGTGAAACAAAACCCATTCCAAAATGTGGGTGAGATTCACAAAGAGTGGACTGCAGCTGGAGTCAGTGCTTCAAGAACCACCACGCACAGACGTATGCAGGTGTTTTGAGTTACATAATTGATTAGAGTGTGGCACCAGGTGTCTCCAATATTGAACCTTTTCACAATATTATAATCTTATGAGATACTGAATTTGGGGTTTTCGTCATTTGTCAGTTATAATCATCAACATTAAAATAAATAAACATTTGAAATATATCAGTCTGTGCGTAATGAATTAATATAATATACAAGTTTCACTTTTTGAACAGAATTACTGAAATAAATCAACTTTTTCATGATATTCAAATTTTATGACCAGCACCTGTACATACGCCATTTTGATTGGTGATATGTGCTGCTGATTATCCATGCTGCTGATCTCATGCTGCTGATCATTTCATGCTGTTTGTATTCATTCATACTCATCTGCTCTCACAGACTCATGTTTGTGATGCTGTTGTTTGGCATTTTGTTTTGCACTATAAGTGTTTAGCGTATTTCTTAGTTTATATCTTAGATCCTTATTTATTGTTACTTTTTACACTTTATAATTTTACTATTGTGTGAAAATGGGACCCTGTGTACACAATTTCGTTCCACCTCATGTACCACATGTGATACGAATGACAATAAAACCTACTTGAACTTGAACATATAAATTCTGAGACGTTCTGAGGAACAAAACTACATAAGAGCCAATATATTCCAGATCTAATACAGCTTTTAGACATGAAAACTGTCATAAGTGGCCTAAATTGAAGTATTTTACTTAATCTGCAGATTAGATTGTTTAGACTGCATGATTATTAATTAACAAGGTCTCATTTGAAGCTCACTTTAGAGAACAGGAGGAAAACCTCTCACCAAGGAGAAAAGAACAAGAACACATATTTAATTAATAAGTGGAAATAACAGACTGTGCCTAGAGGAAAGTAAAAATGAGTACACAAATAAAACTAAACCTACTTGCATAGACAAAAACATCGCCTCAGACCGTTTTACAAGACATTTGCATTCTTGTAATTCTTTCCTCTAAGCCTGGGGGACATCGCTTTGAGCAAAACCCAACATGCTTTAGTTTAGGCAACAAAACCCTGGGGTTACACAACTGGATACACAATTTGCCACTCAGGACACCAGTAGCTACAGTATGTTTACATGGACATAAGTAATCGGATTAAACGGCCATTCGGAATAAAAATGTGTCATGTAAACGCCCCATTCGGATTATTCTAAACTGATTCAGCTCGATCCGAATGAATTTGTAATCCGAATGAA